GGAAAGTGAAAGCTCCTTGGAGAAAGGTGTTGCAAATCTTTGCTTCATGGCTCAAGAGGATAGCAACAATGATGAGGAGGTAAACTCTAACTTTTCTAGTTCAATTAATGAAAGTTCCTTTGAGTATTCTTATGATGATTTATGCAAAGTTCTTGATTGCTCTATGAATGATATTAAGAGACTGGGGAATGACAATATTGCTCTTACTAAAACCATTTCATTGCTTAGGAATGAAATTGAATCTCTCTCAAAACGAAATGAGTTTTTAGTTAAAGGGAATGCCTCTTTAAATGATGAGATTGCTTCTTTAAAGAATGAGGAGTCTAATAATGCTTTGAAAAAGGAAAATGAGGATTTAAAGAAAGGAAATGAAGATTTAAAGAAGGAAAATGAGGTTTTAAAGAGAAAAACTTGTGATCTTGAAAATGTGATTTCTAAATTTACTTTGAGTAAAGAAAAATTTGATTCTATCTTAAAATCTCAAAGAAATATTTATGACAAAGGGAGCATTGGATTTGATTATTCTAAAAAGCAAAAGACTTTTAAGACTACCTTTGTAAGAGCAAGACAATCCTATCATCCTGATGTTACTTGTTATTGTTGTGGTGCAAATGGACACTTTGCTTATGTATGTCCTTTGAAGAGATTGATAGCTCAAGGTAAAGTGAAGCAAATTTGGGTTCCAAAAGGAACTTTAAGCACTAACCCCCATGGACCCAAGCAAATTTGGGTACCAAAAATCAAAACTTAATTTTGTTTTGTAGGAAAAGTTGATGGCAAATTCACTAAGGAAAGCAAAGTAGATCTTAAAAGGACTTATGCCTCAACAAGAATGTTGGAGTGGAAGTGCAAAGGAAATTTGTTTTTGAATGCTCCACTCATGTGCTCAAATTGGTATTATTTATTTTATTACATTTATTCATTGAGTATAATTACTTCAACATGACTATTAATGATTTGTTTATATGTGTTCACTCTTTGATATATATGCTTATTGAATATGATATCATTTGATGTGATTATTAAAATTTATGCAAATTAATGAGCTTGGCATGTTGGATCCTAGTGCTTGATATGATTCTTGAAATTAATGAATTTGATTATTAGAATTTGTGTACCTTGATTATATTCATGCTATTTGATGTTGCATTCATTGATATATGACTAAAATTGCATTGTTTAGTAGTTGATGTCCAATTTAAACTTAGTTGAATGAAGAAAGATCATATTAAGGTGCATTCCCTTCAAAACAGCCCCAAACTTTCTGTTTGTGTCAATCAAGGCCAGTAGAGCCGGCTCAAGCTTTTTCACAACTGACTCCACCAAAAAACCCGAGAGTCTTCTCTCTCTAGAGTTAAGCCGGCTCCAGGAATAGAGCCGGCTCTCCTGCAGCTTGTTAACTCATTCGGGTTTCTCTCTCCTTGCACAAACCAGCCTAGCCTTGGCATGACTTTTGGTATTGATTGTCTATGATTTTGATGATTATATGCTCTTATTGAGGGGGAGTTTATTGGTTGATGATTGTATTCATGACTTTTGTTGTCTATGGTGCTATATTGATGATGATTGATGATTATATTTATTACATATTCTAGATGCTTTAAAGGTTGATAGCATGAAGTAAAGGGGAGCATTTTGTGCTTAAATTACTTTTTTTAATGGTTATCATGCTTAAATGCTTTAAAGATTGATGTGCATGAATTAAGGGGGAGTTTGTTGATTATGCTTATATGCTTTTTGATGGATGACAAAAAGGGGGAGAAAGTATGCTGAAATTTCTGTTTCCATATGAGCTCTCATTGGAATATATATATGTGCTTTTATTAATTTATTTTCAAAGTGTTTTGTCATCATCAAAAAGGGGGAGATTGTTGTAACTATGATTTTGATGATTACAAAACACATTTGAGTGACTAATTGGTTTATTTAAGTGTGTAGTTAAGTTGCTAAAAAATTGCAAGCAAACTTGGATTGCACTAAAAATAGACCAAAAGGATTCAAAATGTGCAGAGAGCCGGCTCTTAAAAGCTGCAACCGGCTCTAGTGAAATGGAAGTGCAGAGAACCGGTTCTAGAAGCTGCAGCCGGCTCTACAGGCAAAAATTTGAAGACCGTTCTTTGGCGCGCGCGAAGAAAAGACGCAAAGCCGGCTCTGGCTTTGAAGCCGGCTGTGAGGGTGCATTTAATGCACAACGGTCAAGTTATTTGAAGAGTATTTAATGTATTTAAAGTCGGAGTTCCAAAGCCGGCTCAAAGTTTTGCAGCCGGCTTTCGAGGAAAACAGAATGTGCAGGAATCCCGCAAAGCCGGCTTTAGGAAGTTAAGCCAACTCTCCTGACAATCCTGCAACTCGAGCTTCGCGTCCTACAGGCCATTTAATGACCGCCAACGGCTAGAAACGGTTATTTTCGAGCAAGGGGCTATAAATATGGTTGGTAACAGATGTGAAGAAGTTTAGAGAGCATTGTATTGAATATCTT